TTGTTACGTTTTAAATCTCATTGCCATAAATATCAGTTTTTTTGGTAAAGTTGTATTTATTTGTTTAAATAAACATACGTGTAGGAGGCTGGAGGGCTTGTTACAGAAATTATTGTAATTTACCATAGCAAGACTCCAAGTTTTTAATGTAGGTCTGTAGGTTATAATGATTAGAAATGTAGAGAAATTGACATTTTACTAAGATAAAGGTAATTTTAGAGTTACGAAATTATTATTGAGATATGTGCATAAAAACAATGAAAATAAAAAAGGTTGGGTTTAAACAATCATTTTAAGAACGCAATGTTATCCAGAACATGAGGAGACATAATAAAGAGTTTAAATAGCTACTACATTTGGGGGAGAACTCGCTTCTAATTAATCGTTCATAATATTCAAACATACGCAAAATTTCTTTTAGGCCCTTAAATAAATTGACTGTTAACGTAAATGGAAATCAAAATATGAAGACAAAATTCATCGGAGACCTATTGTATCATGTTTGATCACAATCTATAAAGCAGCTCGGGAGCTATTATTTGCTAATAAACCCGTAGCTCTGTTGTGTGAAGCATTATTTGTTATTAGACATGCATACATATGAAACTGTGCAGCGACCTTTTAGTTTTCTTGAATGAAACCGACTAGAATACAGACCCATAGCTCCATTTCAAAGATCACTAAAATTAATTAAATTATTATCAACGGTGAATGTGTAACACGTAAGAAATAAAGGCCATAATTTAGAATATTTGTCCGGGAAAGAATAACTAATGCTAAATCTTATTTCTTTAGCTAAACAATATATCGCAACTTCTCAAAGCATTTCTGGGTATAAATATGTCTGAATATGGTTCAATTACGTTAGAAATAAGAGTGTTTGAATGAACGATCAACGGCTGCCTTAATATTCGTCGCCATGACAACCTCAAATCACATGTGCGAAATGTATTCAAAACCTAACAACGTTTTGAATGAGTGTCCATTCTTTACTATGCTCATTTGATAGCAGATGAAGAATACAAATTTATAGCCAACATAATATCGAGAACAAAACATCTGAACTTCATTATGCACCAGTTTTCTAAGAGTACAGACATAGGTACTTCATTACGCACCAGTTTTCTAAGAGTACAGACATATAAAATGAGGCGTTTGTAAATGTTTCTGACCAAAGTATGTCATAGTGAATTATAATTTTTAGATTTTATCCATCATCGGCGATTGAGGTTAGTTAATTTAAATATATCCGTCTGGTTAGGTTCCTCCATGCCTAAACACGGAAACGGAACTAAATTCTGAAACGTCGCCTCTTAAGTAAACCGTGAACAAGGATAAAGTCTACTGAATTATAACACAAAGAAAGTTTTCATTTGATAATTAATACTCTGATCATCATAATAACTGATAGTTTTATGAAATGGTAAGTTAAACGTCCACTGCCAAGAGAATTTCGCCATATTTGAGTAGAGAATGTTCATCTCTTGCGTCTACGTTCAATAGGAATACCTCACTCTGTACCATGTAATATGAGTTGTAGAGATTTGGGATATAATTATGACAGCTGCAAAATTCTGTAAAAATATTCGAAATAAAAAAAAATACAAATGTGCATGCAGTAATAACCTCATTCACTTGAATTTCTTTCTATAGAAATTTACATTTCTATGTACAGTGCAATTTTTATATACAAAACGACATCCACTTTACGCGTTTAGATGCTATTACCCCGCAATTTTCAGGTAATTTATTTATTAAAATATTCTAACTATGAAACAATGAGATAAACTAAGGATTGCGTATTTGTAAGGTAACATTAAGTATTTGTCGAACGTGGTGTTTTCTTAGACGATGCTGCATAGAGATTATATTCGCTTCTTAAGACTAAAAGCAAGAAAAGACACCCCAACATATTCTTATTTAAAAAAACTTGTATTCGCCGCTGCAAAGAAAATTCCATTTGACGTGTAATGGAATTCTGTTATGCAGTACGTCACAGAAAAGCATTATATGAGTAGTAAATTATTGTTCGTAGTATTGTATATAGTAAATACAGCTGTATAATTGGCTAATTTCTACTGAATTAATATATAATGTAATAAAAATTTATGTCCCATAAGTGTCTTGTTCCCGCAACCCCCACACAATTTTTCTATATCTATGCACATTCTCGGGTGATCCTTCAGCAATATTTCTGAGCCCGACTGTTGATGGATGATCTTCCCGACAGATGTCAGTATTTATTGTATGTAGATTCCTTTTAAATATGTCCCTTTCACAGAACCTCATATATATTAGTAGATAGAATTGTGAGACAGGTTTACGTATCTTACATGTAATGAAAAGGCAATGTACATCCGTAGCTACCTATGTAATTAGTCTGTGTAAATAACGTATAAAATAAAAGCTACTGTCTTGAAATTAATTCATCTTTTTTGATTTCTTTCAGACAACTAGTTATAATCGTGTCATAAATGAAGCATGTGCTACTCAGTCTAACATTTGAGGCTTTCATAGCTGTAGCGCCGTGTAGTCTGGTAGAAGTTTACCAGCGTTTCAGAAAAGCTCCGTTGTCAGTGCGAAGACGTGGTGATCTCCTTCTGAAACTTCTGTCATTACCTACCAGACTACACGGAGCAACGTTTGAGGGAACAACCATGTTCATACCTGTTGCCGTGAGAACCCGAAAATTCACCCCGACAGAAACTAGTTGGTTGCCGTAATAGTTTATCAAAGCACAACACAGCATGCTAATAGCTTCGCATTCCCATTTCAGTTTGTTGTAAAACGAATCTGTATCCAGTGCCCGTTGGGATATAAACCTGTCACCAAAGCGACTGACATAGCTTACGTCAAAGAAATTGAAAGCGACAATCGACCCTATGTACGTGCTAAAATAACACAGTTAGTTTAATCACGACAAAGCATGCAGTTTACTTTCAATCTCAATTGTAATTCGCTTTGTCAACAGACCTATTTGCGTGTATAATGGAGGTTCACAGATAGCAATAATTCGGAGTCTAGTTATTTTATCCGATGCATCCGATGATAAGTTTTGGTTCATATAATATGAATACACTTGCAAATTACCCCAGTCGCCAGCACACACTAACAAAACAAATGTTAATATTAAACCCATGTAAAGAACTGCCTAGGAATACGAGGGTGAGTCAAATGAAAACCGTAATTTTTTTTTAAATTTAATTTATTGAGTGAAAGCGGTACACAACCATATTATTTTTCTACATAGTCTACATTTCGTTCAATACAGGGCCCTCCAGCGTTTACGAAGTGTATGGATTCCTCTAGAAAAAAAATTCTTGTGGTTGTCTGCGCAACCACTCATGCACCGCCTGCTGTATCTCTTCGTCAGAACGGAACTTCTTTCCTCCCATCGCCTCTTTGAGTGGCCCAAACATGTGGTAATCACTTGGGGCTAGGTCTATATAATATGAATACACTTGCAAATTACCCCGGTCGCTAGCACACACTAACAAAACAAATGTTAATATTAAACCCATGTTAAGAACTGCCTAGGAATATATACATACAAGGGAATGGAGGTAAATTTGCACATATTCTTTACTTCTAAACTACAACTTCAATCTTCTTCAAAATGTCTCCATCGGCTTGTTATCGCCATCAAAATAAAAGCAAGATATGTATAACGCGCTGTCACGATGTTATTGACTTAAATTCCGCAGAAAATCTGGGAAAAAAGTGGTTTGTGTTAACGACATAACGTTACGTTGTCACAGAGATTAGCTCTATCTAAGTGACCCCAACAGAGTAGGTACCTCTCACCTGAAGACGGAGACAGAATCAACCTCCGAAACGTCAGACGATGGAAAAAGTCCTGACAATGAATAATTTTAAGTACTTTATTTAAAGGCTCTAGCATCACTTCCACATCACACGTTTGCACAACCGCCATATTGCTGTTATAAAATTACAGTTTAAAGAAGTCCTTATTCCGTTGTTAAAAATTTTATTTCGACAGATACTTGGACATGATACAAGCAAAAACTAAAAGCTATCAACATAACCATCAAACCAGTGTAGTTAGATATGCATTTGATACATGTTTCAGTCGAATGTGATAATCCTAAGGTTGCTAGTTGCTATGTACCTATTACAGGAAGTTTCCTTTTATAATACACGAACTTTGGAAAATTTCCTGAAGATATTTCCCTAAAACAAGCAACAAATTTATACCAAATTATTATTTAAATTTTTGTTGATGCTGGTATGTTGATTTGACGTTCGTGTGTTTCCGGAGGGTGTTCGGTTATTTTCATTAGCATTGACCAAAAGAGCAGGATTTTCACTTACAGGTTACGTCACACGTTTATCGTTCGTTATAGAACAATGGAAGTAGAATACAGATTCCCCGAGGGCATCACAGTTGCTGTGGAACGCATTTAGAACCAACGATCTAGATATTGTCAGTGTCTTTTGAATGATTCCCGGACTCTATGGGGTCGTTTTAAATATCAGCTACGTGCTCAGCAAACAGATCCCAGTTTTTGTTGACCAGCTTCCAGCAATGGAGCAATGTGATATCTCATTGGTCTTGATTATTTCCACGACTTGTTCACTGTTCTCACTGTACCAGTTTTACCACAATTTCAGTTTTCACCGGCACAAAGACCATTTAGTAACAAAATCTGATTCCTTCTTCCAAACCAAAAACCGTTGAGAAATATTTTAAAAGAGCGTTAGCCCTTTGAAGCACGAATTTCGACTAAATTCGGGAGATTCCAGATTCTAAGCTGTGAATACTAAGATGACTGACTTCTGGAATGTTACTACGTGTAGTTTGGTAGATACTGACCGACGTTTCAGAGCTGCGTGCTGGCTCATTCATCATCACTCTGATAAACGGGATTGTAGGAACCTCTCAAACGTCGTCGTATGTCTATCTGATTTTAAGGTGAAAAATCCATGAAGGCAAACAGCTGTTTATTCTTAGAATCTTATCAACCCCATTCATTCGGTACGTACGCTATGGAGACATTTTATAAATAAAAATGAAATGGAATAATTTTTATAATTGCGAAAATATTAAGCTAATAAACTGCATAGTAAGTTTTACTTATTACTGAGCTTCCTATGAAAGACACCTGTTGATTTCCAGTGATTTGTGGAAAGAAAGTTTTACTGACAGGTTTCTTTGGTTACTTCTCTGCACGGTACGGTTCGATGGACAGAAGCCAACGCGTTTGAGAACGACAGGTGGCATAGCTTTTGTATACTTCTGCTCGTGTTGGAAACGTTCCAGAGAGAGAGAGAGAGATAGAGAGAGACTTTTGGTTTTCGATGTTCCGTAGTGAAACTGCGAATTCAGAGAAAACCTGATTTATATTACTGCCAAATACCCGTTATTACAAGGCATCCTGTGGTCAATCACTGTCATAACTTAACGTTCTTCTTGCTCGTACTAGAAGATGGCTGTCTTCTGAAACGTCGGTGAACTTCTACCAGACTTCACGGGGCAACAACCCAGAAGACAGCCATCTTCGGACTCACCGCCGTAAAAACCTCAAATCCTACGTTGTTCATACTTGTTTGCCTAGTACGAATTCCACAAATACGTAAGAGACCTATTCAATCAAACGGCAAGTGTTTATAGTTGAATCATTCACAAAAACAGGAAATTTACAGAAACTACATTTGAAGGCTTATTTACGACTATCCATAAAGTTGTACGTATTAAACATTGTCAAAAGTGTGAATGCAAGAAGTTTATTTTTGACAAAAAGAGAAAATCCTTGAATAATTTTGTAATTGAAAACGACAGTTAAAGGCATTCATAGTTATAAACCAATCCTAGGAAACTGTTGACCCTTAAAAGCACAGTGGTTAATTATGCTATAACAACCAGTAAATCTGAATTTTGTATTTATATGTTTTATAAGACCCCCCCCCCCACCAACAAAAATACATTAACCATTTGATCTTTGTAACTGAGCCGTGCTGAGTTTCCTTTGAGGTACAGAATTAATTCGTAAGTATTACTTAGACAAACTACTGCTTTATCTTTTTAAGCGGCAATAATACTAAATTTGGAACATTTCTGTTGTCTGCCATCCTGATGTAGGAGTGTTCGGTCATAGCGATGCTATATTTATTTATCTGTAGTTTACTTAACGACGCTGCCAGGAGCTCAGACTATGCAGAGTCGAATGGTACGGTGACTGAATAATTAAGCCGGAAAGAATATGAAAATACGAGATAGTGTCCCGGCGTTTGCCTGGAGGGACAGAGGATAGACAAGACGAACTTCAGTCAGTCAGGACAGTCTGTCTCCAGGCTGACACAGAGGCCTCCCAAATACAATTATTATATTATTTATACCATCTTAAATTTAGTACGTACATTTATATCTTTAACAGGAAATATTAAGATTTTGTTTTTGTTAATTTTTTCTACTTCTAGGCCGAAACTGTTATGTTTGGTTTGATTAATGCTCAGGATTACCATAGTTTCCACTTGAAATATCAAAATATGTCTAATTTTATCATTTCCTTCGAAATTTTGTTCTTGTGTGTTAAGTAACTTTCCCTGCGTAGACTATGTTATGTCTTAAGAAATGTTATCCCAAAGTGAGTGGTCTCGTTTCTGCAATAAGTCGTATAAAGAATCTGCTGTTGATTATGTCAACACAGTACAGATAAAACAGCAGTGAGGATATTTGGCGACTGCGGAAAGTGCATGACCGCATCCATATATCCTTAAAGTACAAATACGATATTTATAAAACAGAATGGCTTTTGATTACAAATTATTAAATGATATTCTACCACATTCCCATTGTCTCTCGGAGTTTTGTTATAAAATAAGGTCCATTTTAACCTCACACTGACTATATGTATATTTCTTCAATGTTGGGTTTCATTCGTTACATTTATTCTTCGTCCACTTTTAATAGTGTCTTGGTTTTGTACTGTGCCCTGGGGTCGTCTAAACTTCAAAACTCATCTGTTGCTTGGAACTCTATTATATTCTACTGACGGATTTTTCTCGACTTGAAAGAATTCCGAGATTTTAATCCGCATGCTTTTTCAATTTTTAATGGTATAGCTTGCGTGACAAGGATGGCGGAAAGAAAATACATTCTAGATTATTCTGAAGAGGCTGTATATTGTACTATTCAGTGATGAGAGAATATTTATCTATTGACTTTGAATAATTAGGGCTATCCGTGAATGACTACTAGACGATATATCTGTATTGGTTTAATAATAATAATAAAAATATAACCAAATTGAAAATATTTTTAAAAGAGGCGGGACGAATTAAATTCATGTTAACACTCGCTTTATGAATACTTTTCAAGCGTATTCCCTTTTGTCTTCTATTACAAATTACGTATCATCATTCCTTGTGATTTTTATTAGTGTATTTTTATTATAACGAATTTCCATTATTTAAAACGCCATGGAAATAAATGAATTTGTTACAAATTAATTTGATTGCAGGCAAAGTGAAACAATCTTTCATATGAGTGAAGAATATTAATAAAGAATAAGTTTGGAGCCATGTCTCCTGGCTCGGAGTGACCTATCTCCCCCATCTCCGCGATCTTTGGAGCCACAGGCTTCGATGCCCTTATGAGGCAGTGCGGCGGGCAGTCTGTGTGTGTCCGCCGCGCAGTGTACTTCGCCGAAGAGAGAGAGATCCTTAAGACCAAATTTTCCTGCCTGTTGATAGCTAGGTTTAGTCTTGCGTTTTCTTCAGTATACGTAGAAAGTTGCTGGCCGGGACCCTGAGCAGAGTGAGTTTTGTTTGACTTCATCCTGTATGTTCTTTTTTTAATTTATACTTGTAATATATTTTGATAATTTCGAACTGCCTTAATATTATTTTGGTTTTAACCTCTGTAATCCTACGGCCGTACCACCTCCAGGTCTCTGGATGTTATTTCAATCTATTGTCACGTTCGCCAGTAGGGCTCAGTTTATAAATTATACATATTTCGTAGCAAATTTCCATTAACGTTTGATTGAAAGTAAATACAAAGATATTCACGTCTACTAATAAACTTAACGATTCTAACTTGACTTTATTATCTGGGATATTTTCTACTTCTTTCATTTTTATGCATATTAATAGACCTTTGTACATGCAAAATGAATTTGTGTTGGATCGCAATCTTTTTTTCTCCTTCTTGTATCATATGAATTATAAGTATTATCCATCGTTGCGTTGATGAGTCCTTTTCTCCATTTTTCGTTCCTTCCCGCAGTTACATCTGTGGTTTATCTTCGTTTATTTTTTATTACATTCTGTGTACTTGCGTAATCTTTTCTTACTCTGTAAAATTTTCGCGTGTCCTCGGCCATATTTACTCTGCTTCTGCCCCATTCTCCCACTGTACGTGTGATATAACTAGACGACGTGCATTTGTTAACTGTCCCATTTTTCTTCCAATTCTCACGAAAAAATTAGAATTTACCTTTTCAAGCGGAACAGAACACGCACCTAAAGAAACGCGCATGTCTTTTATTACATAACTATCTTTGTCACCGGCAGGGGGAAAAAAAACGCTTGAACTAAAGTTTTCAAAAGTTTTTAGCTGGCGGTTCAAACAGTACACGTAGCCAGCCCCCCCCCCCGAATATAATAAAATGTACTGGGAAAAACTTCCCTTCAAACGCTTTAAGCTATGTACTGTGGTTACGTATATACGAAAAATAATATTTATACAAAATATTGTTTCATTTCTGAACATAGTTTCCACCAGGGCAGTTTCCAGAAATAATGTCAAAATTCAGCAAATTTATGAAGTTTCTAACTGTTGAAACGTAAATGTTTAATAAACAATGTATATACTCTGTCACTAAAAACTTCAATCTTCCTGTGGTCCAATCGCGTCTCACCTCATAGCTCTTTATATTCTATAAAATATCATTCTTAAGATTTTGAATTCGATTCAGTAATTAACATTTAGTCAATTTTATACAATTTAATTGTAACGTGTTCAAGGTAAGGCAGGATATTTTTTTTTTAAAATCCTGCAGTTAAGGAATATGGTCCGAAAAGATACATTATTAAATAAACTTTTATCGTATAAATGACCACAATTGAATATATTTATATAGAGACAGTATATGTTATAATAAGTAATAGATAAGTATCGGTAATAAAATTATGTGACAGATGGCAGCAGTGACTGGGTCTCAACGTATACAATGAAGAGGTGGCATACTGATGTGTGAATAAATGGGGTTATGTTCGACGAGAATGAAAGAAAGATGGAAACGTATATTAAGGAATTTAAGACCAGCTTCACTTCCCTGTGGAAGGAAGCATTCGCAGCCCACTTCTTGGTGCAATACCAAAATTTACCTGAAATAAGTACGAAAATCCACAAAAATTCTTAGTCAGGATAGACGTCTCTGGGTCCACATTTGAACCAAGGACCATCCGAATACGGAGCGGGAGTGCTAGCTACTGATCTGCGAATTACATATAAATCATCACGTTTCTTGCATATTTTTATTGTAGTCTTCTTCAAATAAATTGAAATGAGGAAGAATTACTACAGTGTTGTAAGGAATCTGTAATTATTCAAATTAACCTATTTATAAAACGAGCAGTGAAACTGTACTGATTACGGTACAAAGTACGCACAATCTGCAGCTATATAAGAGAAGTTATTGAAGATTATCATAACAGATTCCGTAAACACAGCACCTACACTGTGTATCAGATTCTGGACATTAATTTCCAACAACAATTCCTCCTTATTCAAAATAAAATGAAGTGGTCTATAGATCTCAGAACGTAATATTTTACCTCCCACTTTGATCGATTTTGTCTATATTTCATCAGTATCTGGCAATTTATATATTTCCAATATATCAATAACTGCTTACGACACAACACAAATACGCAGAGTTGTGTGCATTTGACATCTTAACGTCATAAAAGTTCATGCATTAAACTCTGTAGGCTTCCGGCCTGTTCTTACCTTCAATGTCATGCCATTCGTTCTACGTGTGAAGCGGACAGAAGGGACATCCTCCTCCGATTCATTGCTCCAAGTTAATGTTTGGTTTCACTTCATATAGCAAAGTTTCCATTGCACAGTGATTAAAACACACGCAACGAGGTTTAATTCTACACTTTATCATGTTTGTCTTTTGAGGTTTTCACTATAAATAACATTATCGTAAGATATATTTCACTTCTCGTCATTCGTACTTACGTGCAAGCACCATGTTGCTCTACGATGTTCATTTTTCTACATTCAGTCGTGTGGATTCGGCGGATAGATCGGCAATTTTCGTTATAACTACAATATGGCGATGAAGGAACAAACATATGCCGTTTCTCAAGGTGAAATCGCTGCATCGCATCGTGGTCAGTATCTACAGTATGGACCTTAAAACACTGCACTTCTACCAAGGTAAGAAATTAAACAACTTATCAACTCGTATTTCTAGTACATACATTTTCCAAATGCGTTGTTTGATAACGGTGTATCTTGTTGGATTCGATATGCACTTATAATAGACAAAAGCCTGTCGTTAAATGCGCAACATTACAGACAAAAATTCGGCATATCGAAAATTATTTTAAACGGGAGTTGTAGATGCTGATTATTTCTGTATGTTACGTTAATGTTATCCAAAGAGTGGTTCGCGAACCACCAATAGTCTGTTAACTGTTGGAATTACAAAAAAAATATTAAATAGATTAATTTCAAACATATAGCAAATAGTACAAAGTATCACGTTATATGTTGTGTACATACCAAATATCATATTTCATTGATATCTGTTCAGTACAGTGGCAGATGAAAAATTCGAATATAAAAATGGTAACCTTCATTATTCCGAAAAAGTTGTATCGTCTATTTAATTCCAATTGTTAGTGCATTTCTACTGCTATAATGTTCTGCACCGATCGTAGACTTCAATTATTTCCAAGAACGAATGCAGTAATGCTTAATCTATAACTGATGTTTTTCATTTACATATATAGACTGTTCTTTTTGAACCGTGTATGTTTTTTGTTATTATTATTATTTTTGTAAGTCTCTCCGACTAAGTTTCTTTTCATACCAAATAAAGAAAGCACCTGTCCGTATCGTCATGGCTGTTATTTGTCTGTACGAAGAAATGTGTCAGACTCGTTGTTTGTGAAACGAATAAATTAAATTGTGTGCTAAACTTCCTTCATGCAAATAATTAATTCAAAGCATTTACCACACAACACATCCGCTTGAAGACCTACGTAACATTTTAAAAAGTTTTTCTTAGTAAACACATACACCGGGAAACTTTAAAATGAGATGTATAATATTGCATAACAAAAAATTTGGGGCAATGAATAATCACTCTGTAGACACAAATATTTATAAATGTGTGTTTGTGTGCACTACAGAGGTCAAGAATGATTAGGAACCATAACACCTCACCCCCCTAGCGCCAATATGGCGTATAGTGGGACAGTTTTACATTTTTTTACTTAATTTTATATAATGTATGTGTAATTTTTCATGTGATTACGAATAATTTTTACGGAAAAAGAAAATTAGCTCAATCCCTGCTTTATTTAAAGTACGGATTACACTTCTGCTATACAAAAAACATTTCAGTTTGTTTGACATTTATTAAAGATCACATATAGCTACTAAATTTCGTCTAAGTCAGTTGAATACTTTTTTCAGATTAAATATGCGAATGGTTTGATATAAATTTCCAGTTATGAGTTCAATATATATGAAATGACGTCATATAAAATTGACCTTAAGAAAGAAACACAATATTAACAAAAGCAGGAAATAATAAACAATTCCTCAAAAACTGTTCTATAATTATCGCCAGTTCAATCAGTATAAGCATGGATACTAATTACATTAAGCAAATATATTTTCAGAAGCTAAAACTCGTAGTAAAAATATCTTCCGAGTTACAACTCAATAGATCATCACGATGTTCGCAAGAGATCGCCACTTCTCCCTGTCTCAGTTATATGATTCATTCTTAACACCCATTTCAATATTATTAACTTCCAACCAATATCTCGGTCTTTATAATTATTATGATACATCGATGCGTTTACGTGTATTAATCGTGATCAATATATCGATTGTTTCGTTTCATTATTGTGACAGCAATTATTTCTTATGCGATTAGCACTGGTATGCTTTGTAAGCCATAAATTTTTGTTAAATCGGTTTAATCTAGCGAATCCTTTGATACAACATTAAAGCAGAGCATTAACACATACACATTGGAAAACCATTATCGGGGAAAAGGTGTTTTATGAACCAAAGTTATGAGGTGACTGCGTCTAGGCTGCAGGGCATTGAAGAAACTCGGAATATTCCATTACAAGCCAAATACATTCCTCAGGCACTACAGTATATATTCCTTTGGTTATACCATAGATCAGACGGGTAACCACTGGCTTCTTATGGCGGAAGCCCGGGTTTACGTCCTGTTCAGTGAATATTTGATTTGTCCTGGATCAAGTGACATTGAGATTTTGGCCTTCTGAGCTATTTCTCGCCCATTTTCCAGAACCTCTCGATCTCCTTGTACCCCTTTAATTCTATTTATTATTACATCATTTCTCATGCTGTTGATTTATAATGAATATTGAATGACGCACTTAATGCAGTTCGAATAATAATACGGTCAATACATAATTGTCCTACAATGAACATAGTGAACTGTGCATTACATTGATGATGTTGTTATTCTGAGTTGTGGCCCCATGTAGACTTTGAAAATACGGATATTTCGGAGAGACATGCTCTCTCTCTCTCATCATGGATAACTTTCTCGCCATAAGAAACTCAAATCTCAAACAGTGGCAGTAATGATGACATTGATGACTTTAAAAATAAAAACAAAATTATATTTAACAAAACTGTATCCAAAACTTTGTAATTAATTATTAACAACTGGCGTTTAGTCACAGCCTACTAAACTCATGATTTCATCTGATAGGTACTCCAGTCTTAAAACCAATGGTCTCAACATTAATAAGTGGCCATGCTTTTATTTTGCCTTAAATTATCTTACTATTTATCTCATTCTCCGTTCTCCCACTGTGAGGACAAAATTCTCATTCTCGTAGACAGCACATTAACCATCTTCACTCTAAAAACGAGATTAATCGATAAGAAACTTCTGCTCTGAACATGTTTTGGCGTTTGATAATATATGCGAAAACAATTTCTCCTGTCATTTATTGGTATTTTCAGCGAACTATTCGAAGTTTAACGTACTGAAATTTATGCGGAGCCGTGGAAATATATATTCCTATATAAACGAAGAATTCATTTTGAAAATGTGCTTAATCGCGAGAAAGTTTTCTTCGTTTATAGCGAGGGCTTTCACATTCTGTGCAAAAAGCACGACTTTTTTATGACCTCCGGACATTGACTCTGCTAGGAATGTGGATTGATGGAGATGGAATGGCAAAGAGATAGCAGATGGGTCCAGTTGAAGGCACTAAAGTCGGGTTTACCAGTCAAAGTGTTGAATTTGGTTCCACCAGACCATTTTGAATATTATTATTAATAAATAATTGAAGTGAATTATTAATCTAATCCTATATTGAGGTCGAATATTTAACACTGTCACTTATTCTAGTTCCCGGGTTCAGTTATCGGTCGAGAGTGTAGTTATTTCGATGTTTTTCGTTATTTTCCTTACTCAATATGGATAAGTTCTTGGTTATGTATTAAAATAGGCCATGACCGCTTCCATCCACGCACATTTTACTTCATGTTCTACATAAGCCTTTCAGTAGATGCCGAATCCGTGCGTTCCACGTCCGTTAGAAATGAAAATCTGATCAAAGGGAGGGACAATAGATAAGGAAGTATGTATTATCCAAACATTAAACACTGTTTTATAGCGGCACTATATAGGGCGCTGTCTCACAAAAATGTTTTGCTACTGTATTAACTGAAACTTTAGGACAGTTAAATCACAAAAAAAAATATTGCAGACTCATGGAAACACAAATGTCGTCTCCCTAGCGTCAAAACATTGCTTGGTGTGAAATTCTTCTTCAGGAATTGATCGTGAATATTCCCGACTAGCTGAATATTCTAAAAAGCCTCCCTGCCCTTTGAACTTTCACTAAACGGTCTGAATGTTTGTTTAATCCCGAGGTAATAATTCTTGTTTGTAGGAAAACTGGACCCAAAAAAATAGTCCATTGTGTGGCAGGGTCTCGCCAGAATTTTATTGGTGACGGGTAATTAGGAGGAGTTTATAATTTATAGCGGGCCTTTTATGAATGTACGCTAAAAATGGAAATTTAAATAATTAGATTATGATTGTCTTCTCGCATGTGCTATACATCTGGCTCAAGACAAAATATCGTGACAGCGAGACGAACAATCGGACGGTTACAAATTTAAACATTTAAAACTCGTTATGAAAATTCTAAAAATTCTCCCGGCTGCCCCTACGGAAGGGCAATCTCTGCTTTAGATATTTCCAATTGACTCGGAAAATAAGGTTATTTCTTATATTAGTTGAGGGCGCTTTTTCAGCATCAAACAGAGTCTATAAAGTTTATTACAGGAAACTGACAAATTCTGAATATACTTGTGATTATTCAAACCGTTCCGTGTACTCTGCAAAGTTTTAGCGTAAAACTTAAGCCACGTCAAACAATGTCCAAAAACAAGACTTGAAAACTGCTACTTTTAAGATGAGTAATGGAATGATAATATTAAAACGGATTTTAGGGAATTCAGTTCTGAGGATAGGAGGTGGATTAAACTATCTCAGTATCGTGTCCAACTGCGGAGATGTGCTGACTTATTACAGGTGTTAGACCTCTTAGTTTTGTTGCCAAAGACGTAGACATTTTCATTTGCTGTGATACAACACGAAGCCTGTGGCTTTACGAGACCTTCTGCTTGGGCGCAACACAGAATGGCATCTGGGATTTAAACACGTAGAAAATGGGAATGGAAGGTATCTGCTAAATGCCGCGTGAAATATCGGAAATGACGTTGTTTGGCAGTGGGAAATGAGAGAGAACTCGCGCCGGAGGGTCGTCATCTGACAGCTACATCATTCCGGGTACACCTCGGAGAACGGTCTCTTCACTTGCAGGCTCCAACAGCGCCGTGCAAATAAAAGTCTATGTTCATGTGACGTAGAGCGTGATCATATCCAACAGTACGCATGGATCAACTTGAGGACGGATAATCCGGTTTTAATTAAATTTATATTGAAGAATTTTAGGACAAACGTTCG